CTGCAGCAGCTCGACCTGCTCGAGCAGCGCCGCGCCGCTCGGGCGCAGCCCCTCCCATCCGCACCTTCGAGAGATGGGGAGACGTGGTGAGAGATGGGGAGAGGAGGCCGCAGCCCCTCCCCAGCTGCACCGCGACGCGACGGCGAAGACAGCGGCGCCGCGCCGCTGCCTTCCCGCGAGCTCGCCGAGCATCGCGTCGCCGAGCCCGACCGCAGCCTCGAGCAGCGACACCACCGCGCGCGCCCTCACCACGGCTGCACGCCGCCGCTCTACAGCAACCTCTACCTCCTCCACGGCGCGCGCAGCCTCGGCGGCGGCCGCCGTCGCAGCAGCAGTGGCAGCGGCGGTGGCAGCGGCGGTGGCAGCAGCGGCGACGGCAACGGCAGGAGAGGCCGAAGCAGTGGCGGCGGCGCAAGCCTCCCCAGCCGCTACCGGCTCGGCCCTTGCTCCTTGGGCGTCCGGCTGCGGCCTCGTCTCTGCGTCCCAGGCCACCTCCGCCGCCAGTCGCGGCAGCGGGTGCAGCGACGCCGCCGGGACGCCCCCCGCGACGGTCTCGGCAGCCGTCGCCTTCGCGCGAGCCGCCGCGAGCAAATGTGCCGCCGCCGCCTTGTGCCGGCTGAGCGCGTCGATGGTTTTGCTGGCGGCGAAGTTTGCGCGCACAGCCTCGCGAGAGAGGATGAGCGCCTGCGCCCCGGGTCCGAGAGGGCTCAGGACGGGTCCGAGAGGGCTCAGGGGGAGAAAGCTCTTCAAGGGACGTCGCACGAGAAGCCTGAGAGCGCGCCGCGTCGAGCCGCTACATCTCTCGGCTTATCTCGGCTGCATCTAGGCTATATCTCGGCGATATCTCGGCGATATCTCGGCTGTATCTCGCCGCGTCGAGCCGCGCGCCACCACGCGCGTGCAGCGTGTCCCAGACCTGCTCCGCCCGCTCGGCGAGGAGCTTGCCCAGCCAGCACCTAATTAGTTATTACTTAACTGTTAATTAACTGTTAATTGTAGCTCGGCGAGCAGCTTGCCCAGCCAGCACCGGCCCGCGACCCAGCACGAGAGGAGCTGCAGCGCCTGCGCGACCGCAGCCACCTCCTCCGGCCCGGGAGGGCTGCTGCTCGACCTGAGTGACGAGGAAGGAATGGCTGACCAAGGAAGGAATGGCTGATCACAGGAGCAGCTCCTCCCGGGAGGGGCTGCCGCCGCACCCGTTGGGCTCGCGCGTCGCAGAGTGGGGCCGGTGCGCACGCGGCAGCGCGGAGGGCGCCGCGACGGCGGCGCACAGCTCACACACTCCCGTGAGCAGCGCCGCCCCTCTCTGCAGCACCTGCACCGCAAGGCT